CAGGAAAATGGAGAGGGCTTGAAATGCCGCCCCCCCCCCAGGTGGTTGCTGTCAGCAGGGGCAGCACGACAGGGCAGCGACCTCAGGGGACAGCCCAGGGCTCAAGGCGAAAGGACAACTGTCCCCTGTCCCTGCAGTACCCAGCACAGGGGGGTTCAAACCGGGGGCATTGAGCGCTGGCACAGAGGGTGACACCCGGGGGGTAAGGCAGGAGGAAGCACCGCAGGGCTTCTGAGCGGGTGGATGAGCTGTGACTGCGATGCGGACGCATGAAAGGGCTCCAGAACATTTCCCACAGAAGACGCCAGAGGGCCCGGTGCTCCTTGAACGCTCTTGCGTGGCTGGGAGGGAAAGTAAATGGGCAATGGAGAAACCTCCCCTGTGGCTTGCCTTGAACCATGCAGCTCCCTAAAACGACCAGGGCAGCTCCTCTCTCCACCTGAGGCCAAACCCCTGCATGGTGCCCATGGACCCCTGCAGCCCTTCCATGACATGGCCTGGGGTCACAGTGAAACAGCTGGCATCCAGGTCCCCTGTCCCCATGGTGTCCAGATCTCTGCCCAGGTTCCTCTGCAATGCCTGGTGGATCCCTGTCGCCGGCTTTGCCAGCATCTTTTCCCCGAGGAGCTACACTGCAGTGAGCAGGAGAGGGCAAAGGGAGGCAGTGGGTAGCTTTGGAGGAGTGCAGAGTACGGCAAGGAGGAGAGCAGGGAGGAGTGTCACCCTCCCCAAAAGCTGACCTGCAGCAAGGATGGAGACATGATGAAGGGTCTGACATCTTTTCAACACTCTGGCATCTCTGCCGTGGTGATCAGGGCTGCTCCAATACAGCTCCAAAAACCTGCACAGGGCCAAACCCCCTGAGTGAGGGGCAAGGCTGGGCCATGCAACGGTCACATGGGATTATCATAGAATTACAGAACGGTTCAAGTTGGAGAAGACCTTAAAGATCATCTGTTTCCAACTTCCCTGTCATGGGACACCTTCCCATTATGCCATCCCTTGGGCACATGTGGTGGGGGAAGAGGAGCTGTGCTGGGCTGAGGCACGGCCGCCCCGCGTTTTCAGAAGATAGGCAGATGTCATGGTTTCAGTTGCCTCTCTACAAGTTGTAACTGGGTGTGAACCTTGCGGTTGGGGGAGCGTCAGTATCTCTCTGTGGTTTCTTAGATCTCTATCTCGCCCTGTCAGATAGTTTGCCCCATACAGTAACAGTTCCTTCCTTTACCAGCAGGTCTGGGCACACCAAAACAGGTTCACTTGCATGTCACACAGCAGGACACTGTCTGTCTGTGATGGCAGAGGAAAGGGACATGAGTGACTGCCACCAGGATCAGCCTTGGGGCAGCAGGGACAGGTCAAGGCTCAGTACAAAATGCAGTAGTTGTTGTAGCGAGGAGATGAGTTTGAGACACATCACCTTGATTTGCACCCCTGCATGGATCTGGGGCGTGAGAAATATGTACACAAATTAGCCAGAACAGCAGACTAGTTGCAATACTGGAATTCATGCAATATGGGAATACCACAAATGGTCCCTTGGCAAATTCCATCTGAGATATTTGTCCTCTGTAGAGCCTGAGTACCTGCTTGCATGCTACTGTGCTGCTCCAAAATGCCACCACTGCATGTTCGTGACAGTCACAGAATCCTCGTATCACAGACTGGTTTGTGTTGGAAAGGAACTTAAAGCTCATCCAGTCCCAACCCCTGCCACGGGCAGGGACACCTTCCACTAGAGCAGGTTGCTCCAAGCCCCTGTGTCCAACTTG